TGAGATTTCTCTTTTGCACTGCATCATACTCATGCTCCTTTGAGAGGTTCTTCTGGCCAGAAAAATGGTAGGTTTTCCATCAGAGTTTTAGCTACATGTACTTCTCTAATCCACAATAAAACAGTTACCTTGCAAGGTTGCGAAAGAAAAAAACCTGAATAGCTTACCCTCTTATGTTTTCACTCTTTTCCACCATTTGCCTCCTTTTTGGTTACTTCTCAGAGTCCTCAAGTGAGATTTTTATTTTTAAAATTTTGTCCAGTGTTTACAGGTGTAATTAATGGGGGATGCGGTTTCTAGGGAGGCTTACAATTCCATTGCAGAATTGGGTCTCCCAAGAGCACTATATTTTAAATATCATCCTATATTTATATCTCATTCAATATTTACTTTTGTTCAACACTATGTTGATAATTAACCAGTTGTGTCTTTTAATAAAATTTTAGGTTTTATTGTGAAAGACATAAAAGGTAACCTGAATACATGGATAGATATACCATATTTAAGAATAGGATGATGTAGCACTATAAAAACTTTAGTGTCTCCCAAATTTATATATAAATTGATTGATAGCACAGTTAATATTCAAGCTGAATTTTTTTATACATTGATGTACAGACTATAACATATACACTTGCTTCCTATCAAATCCTAACATTTTATAAAGTTGTTTCCAGAGGTGATATTCAAAATATAACAACCTGTATGACATAGGCACCAACTAATGAGAAAAATCCCTGCCTACTAGTTTCTATGATGTCAAGGCCTACCAAGCCCTGCTAGATTTATGTATTTTTAATTACATAAAATATTCTAGAGTTAAAAGATGCTTCTGTACCTCTTTCCAAATCCCATAACTATTTCCCTCCCTGTGCATATTTTACACTATTACTGTATATGTATGTATCTATAAAAATGTATAGCATACTTTCACATGTATATAAATTGTATGATACTGAGCAAAGAGTTGGACATGACTGAAGCAACTTAGCACAAATACATAGTAGGTAAATATCCATTTTGATACATATTTAACTGTTGTATAGTATCTCATTGAATAACTATGCTACAATTTACTTATCAAAATTGCCTATTTCTTTGTTTTAAATTTGGGATAGTGTTCTAATTCTATTAAAGACAATGTTGCAATAAACATTCATTTTCATGGATTATTAGGAACATGTTTCTCTTGGGTACTACATAATAGTGGAATTGGGGATTATACATTTATTTACCTTTAATTTTACTAGATATCATAGTTGGACAAATGTATACTCCCACAAATACTGAATGGGATTGCCTATATTCTGATACTCTCCCTAACAGTATATACTATCAATCTTCCTTTTTAAAAGATTATTTTAGCTTTTACTAATTTAATAGATAAAGTGGTATTTTATTTCATGGTAATTTTATTTCCCTAATTAATGCTTATTTGTTTTTAATCAGGCCAGTCTCAAGTTCTGCTTATTTCTTTTTAGTAGATTCTTTTTCTGAGGATTCTTAGATGTAGTCAACATACCCTCATTCTCTGTACTTTTCTAACCTGTGCCCTCTGCAGAAGTTCTACCCATAAAAACTTGGTACCAATTTTTGTATAGGTATGCTTTTGGCTGCAAACAGAAAATTCAACTCAAAACTGAATTAAAAAGGGGGGGTGTTGTTGTAATATATATTAGGAAAGTTTGGGGATGGCAGCAGATTTAGGTACGGCTTAATGTAAAAACAAAAATTGGCAATGAAAGAAATTAAATAAAAGGAGGAGAGAGTGAAATAGCAGAAGAGGAAATGTAGTATTTTGTTCTAATGTCTATTCTGTGAGTTAGGACATGAGTTCTGGGGTCTCAGATGTGAATCCGATCTGCATGATGGATCCACAAGAAGATCACCATCCAGAAGGCAGGACAGAGAGTAAACCAGTAAACAGAGAGCTCTCATCCAGTTTATTAAGTGCTCTGACAGAGCCATGCAAAAGAGTAAGGGGGAAGGAAAGACTAACTAAACTTAGAGTAGTCTCAGAAGCTTATTTTGGAGAAAGCAGCATTTGTACCAGTTTTTATAGGAAGGCAGACCTTTTATAAGCAGGCATGGTGTGTGGGAGAGAGGAACAAAGACATTCCAGGTAGAGGAACAGTTTGAGCAAAGGTGTGGCATTGGCAGAATGCAGAACATGAGTCATCCAATTGTGAGTGAGGCCTGTGAGTCTGGCAGAGGCCAATCATGGAGAGCCCTGAATGAATGATAGGCTAAGGAGCTTGGATTTAAACCTGCCAGTCAAGTCAGACACAACTGTGCTCAACAAATAATTAATGACTGAGCAAATGAATGCCTGAGAAGAACTTTTTCCCCCCTGCACTGGGGAGCAGTGCTCCATTCCATAAGAGAGACAGGCTAAGCACTTGCTTAGTGTACCAGTAAAGACACAGCCCCAGTAAAAGTTTTCAGCCAAGTGGATATGCATTAAAAGTATTAACATAGTCATTAGGGGATAAATTTCAAAAATTGGTAGACTTTTTTACATTTACTGTTTTTATTCTGAATTACATATGATGCAGGGGCACCCTAACTTTTAGCGTTTAGAGCCTCCAAATGTCTTAATTTTGTCCTACTTGAGCAATAGAAATGAATAAGATCTAATCTCTTACCCCAGAGCAGCTCCTGGGGCGAGAGACCCAGACACACAACACACTATGTAATTAGTGTTGGATAGAGGGGGCTGTAGAAAGCATTGGTGTGGGAGCCCAGAGAAGCACGGTCCTAGGGAGAACAGAGGAGCCAAATAGGAATGGGGATACAGGATGGGGATAGAGAAATCAAAAGGAGAATAGAAGAGAGTGATTGCTGAATAAGAGATAATAAGCAGAAAAGAGATCACATGGGGAGAAAAGAAAGCTGGAGGCAGGGAGTGTGGGAGGAGGCTGACAGGCTGTGAAGGAGACCCCTCTGGAGGCGGAAAGAGGCAGGGTCACTTCCTGCTGGAGAGGGGGAGAAGCAAGGCACAGACCTAAGGAGAGGCTTGGAGACAGGACACTTTCTGGACTGGAGAGGTGAGCTAAAGTGCCCTGCTATACTGAAGAGCTTGTGGGGGCCTCCAGGCTGGGATTTCAACGTGCTTGACTCCACATTCCCCTAAGGTTTGAAGGAAACCCGCTGAAGAATATACTCGCTAAACTCATGGAAGCGGTTGGATTTAGAGGTGCTTTGACTCGATTCATGGGGTCGCAAAGAGTCGGACACGACTGAGCAACTGAACTGAACTGAACTGACTCAGATAGCAAGGGAGATAGATGTAGAATTTCTTCTGGGCAATGGAAAGGAGAGGTCTGGACTCTGTTGTCAAGAAGAAGTGAAGTCTCTCAGTCGTGTCTGACTCTTTGCGACCCCACGGACTGTAGCCTAACAGGATCCTCCATCCGTGGGATTTTCCAGGCAATAATACTGGAGTGGGTTGCCATTTCCTTCTCCAGAGGATCTTCCTGACCCAGGGATCGAACCCGGGTCTCCGGCATTGTAGGCAGCAGCTTTACAGTCTGAGCCACCAGGGAAGTGGGTGTTAGGGGTGCCTAAAGGAGGGATGCAGATCTGGTTGAGACCTCAGAAAAGAGAGATGGAGAAATCGTTCAGGCCACATAAAGAAAGGAACAGAATGCAGTTTAGCAGGGAGATAGGCAATGAGGGGCTTTATTAAATGGAGAAAAGTCGCAGGACCTGGTTTGGGCCACAGAAAGTAGCGATTTGGAGGTAGAAAAAAGAAGGGGCAGAATCCCTATTGAATAATCGAAATGAATGGGCTTGGAGGGAAGAAAAGAGGGGCTAGGACTCGGTTGATACCGGTTTGAAAAGAAAAGGGACAGAACCTGGTAGTGGAACAAGGGTCACACAAAAGCTTGAGATCATTGGATTTATGGGTGGGGCAACCTTGTTTGTAATAAGGGCGGGATGGTCACTTGCAGACGTGGAAGTAGGAAAGCAGTGCTGGGGAGGAGGCATGCAGGGACTTAACTGCAGAGCGGAGGAAGGGAGCATGTAAAGGGAAGAAGTGGTACGGAGAAGTACTGTAGAGTGGAGGGAGGGGGCGTTTCGAAAAAGGGGCGGTGGGGCGGCGCACCACTGTACTGCAGAGGAGAGGTGGAAGGGGCTGTAAGAAGAGGTACTGCAGAGCGGAAGTGAAGGGGGAGGTGTTGGGAGAAGGGTTGGAATGAGATGAGATGCAGTTAGAAAGAGTTTGTCACGGGTGGAGTCCAGTTGTTCTGCTGCTCTGAAAGCAGAGACCTTATGTGGGATTGAGGTGGTCACCGTTCAGTCCACCAAAGCACAGGAGCTCTCAGGGCCAGCGGTTGTCCCTACACCTCGGGTTGGTGCACATGCGCACTATAGATTTGTGGGGTGTGTGTAGGATAAAGGGGAAGGGGTCGGAGAACTGACATGCTCTTTCTTGGACGCAAAAGGAGCTAGGATTTGGAAGCCAGACCATCTGGGTTTCTAGGTATGAGAACCCAGTAATTGAAGGGTTTGGGGCTCAAGGTTTAATGAGAACCCCTTCCTTAGGATTGGCAGGAGGCCACATGAATCTCCACCTCCCTTTCATTCTTTCCTAACTCAGGCCCCTTCCCATCAGGCTCAGCTGTTTATTGGCCCTCCAGAAAAATGGATAGGAGAAATGACTCCAATTATAAGATGACCCTGTTCCAGGTGAGACCTCTCTGCATTCTCTGCAGGCCATCTACCCTGTTCGGAGTTCATTTACTGCCGTTGAGCCCCTACCACTCTGTAGTTGCATAACTCCCTACCTAACCTGTTTCAGTCCTCCCTTGTATGGTGGAGGAGGAGGTGAGGAAAACTTGCCTATTTCTTGCTCCCGTTCTCTTTCTTTACCCTCCCTTTCAATCAGTTGTTCAAAGGAGGGGGAGGTTTTGTAGAAAGGGTGGGCTCTAGGGAGGCCAGATAGCTCAATACATCATAGTCTTAAGTATGTAAGGTCCTCTGCTTTCCACTGTGAGCCTAGGGCTTCACTTCCCTCCAGATGTACAGGCTGAGACAACATAAGACAGTGTCTTGCTGATACTTACCCTCTTGGCAGCAACCAAGGACCCCCTGGACATGGACCCACCAGTTGCCAACCAGCCAAAGAAAAGCAAGACCAAGAAGGCCCCTATTAAGGCTATCACTAAGACTGTACCCACTGACCCTCCAGTTCCACCAGTCTAAAGTAACTTTTCCAGCTTTAAATCTGCCAATCATTCCCCAGATCAACCAGGTAGCCAATACTCAGGCTTCTTCATTCACTGCTCAGCCTAAGAAATCCAACAAGACAAGAAAAGTTACTGCTAAGGCAACCCAAGGCTCCCAATTTCCAATTGACAGTGAGAGTGTCACTACACAGATCAAGTTACCCTTGCAGACCCTAAACCTGCTAGTCATTCTTCAGACTATCCAGGCTCCAATTGTCAATGAGTCAGCCAATTCTCAAGCCTTGTTAGGCCCCACCATACCTTTTTCCAAGGCTAAAATGGCTGACAATAAGGTCATAGCTAGTGCCACTGATATCTCACTGGCTCTATCCACTATTTACACAGCTACCACCCACAGCCAAATTACCTCCATCCAAAGCCAAGAAGGCAATTGTTAAGGGCACAAATACTGATACTGAGTTCCCAGAGGCCCCAGATGCCACTGAGGCCTCAGCAGCAGCTATCTGGCCCCCAAAATCCAAGGGCAAGAAAGTTGTCTATGAGGGCCCAAAATCTGCCTGTGAGATCTCTGAGGCCCCCCTGCCAGTCAAATGGTCACAAACCAACCCCTAGCAGCCACACTCTGGGTCAAGAGAGGGTACAGGGCTCGGAAAGTTGACACTAAGACCCAAACAACCGAAAGCCAGACTCAAGTTGACCAAAGGATCCAGACCAAGATGGATACCTCTCAGACCCACATAAGTGCCCTTGAGACTCAGGTTGCTGCTTCTGTCCAGGCCCTGGCAGATGACTACCTGGCTCAGTTTAGTTTGGAGCCCACAACCAGGACCTGGGTGCTGGGAGCCAACACACGGGACCCTACCCATGACAATGTCATGAGGGAGAAAGCCTGACAGGCAAGGCTGATCAGGTTCCCCAGCTCACGAGATCCCACCCATGACAAGGTCACGAGGAGAAAGCCTGACAGGCAAGGTGGATCAGGTTTTCAGGGGTTTCGAGAAGGCCGGCTCACGAGATCCCACCCATGACAAGGTCACGAGGAGAAAGCCTGACAGGCAAGGTGGATCAGGTTTTCAGGGATTTCGAAAAGCTGCCCCCAGCGCTCACCTTAAAGATGATATCTGTCTTTCTGATGCCTGCCTCAATAAACTACTCCCTAATTTCTGTGGCACAGGCAGAAGGCCTTCCCTGATCTCTTCCCAAATAAGAATCAATTTAGAACTTTAATCAATAAGTTTCCCAGGTGGTGGTATTTTATGAGATTATCCAGGGTGAAAGGAGTGTTTTAATTTAAACTCCTTTGCTGGTAGTTTGTTAGCCAAATACATTTATGCCCTTGGTACTAATATGCATGATTGCTTATAATATCCTAATCATAAAATAGCATAAAGAACCTGATCATATAAAAGCCCTAATAGACATAGAGCATTTTTGAGGGGTGAAGGAGTCCTATTAGAAAACACAAGAAAAATTATTCTAAAGGTGGTTATTGGGTTGACATTTGCTTGCTGTGTTTTGCTTGCTGTGTTTTTGCTTTTAATGTGCTAAGATTGTGTTATAGAAACCATTGTTAATATAGTTAAAGATCTAGAGAAATAAGAGCTTAGCCCTAGTGTGGTAACAGTGAGATGGTTGCTAATTGTCAGCCAGGAGTGCTGGGCAGAGGCTGCCTCACCAAAGTTGCAGAGTCTGTGTGGGGTAAACTTCTTAGATAAACGCAACTGACAACTTCTGCAGAAGGATTAATTTTTGTGTTAACAAGGTTATACTTCTACTCTGTACTGTTGCCCTATGAGACTGCTACCTTTCAGTTAAGGTCACCATAGAAACAGAAAATAGGTTTACATTCACCTGAC